GGACTCGATCCCAGGACTCCAGGATCATGACCTGAGCCGAAGGCAGTCGCTTAACCAACTGAGTCACCCAGGCGCCCTGTCCCTTGCCTTTTGTTGCCCACCCTGCAGGATAAAGTACAATGAAATTTAAGATGCTCTAGAATCTGGTTCCTGCCTACAGATACCCTCTTTCCCTCCCCATCTCCCAAAGCAAACTATAGTTCCGCAGCTGTGCTGTCTGCAAACACTGCCCCTTAGCCTAAGGTGCCATTCTTCCCGTGTCTGCTTTTCCCTATTAAGTGGAGGGATCTCTTAGAACAGTCTTATTAATCTTTGTATCTCCAGCACCGAGGACAAGAAGATGTTGCCCGAACATGTTGCACAAGATGATGAATCAATGTTAAATGAAAAGAAAAGAAATGACTGAAAGAAGGAATGAATGTCTTCTTGCCTGGTAAGACTGGTCAAATGTACAGTAGGTACTATCCTTCTAGAAGCAGTGAAACTACCCTAAGGCTTTCAGGTACATCTAAAGCTCACTGGATTCATACAAAAAGATAAACAGAAGGTGAATTCACAAAGATAATAAGAATGTCATTTAATTTAGAGCTGGACCATTGGCTTATCATGGATCTTCTCCAAAATCACCTCTGGCTCTAATGACTATCTAGTCAAATGGAATTAGGTAATCCTCAAGAAAGGTACTAGAAATGCTCAAATGATAACACAGGTATTACCTTACATACCTACAGAAACATGTTGCAAAGCATTGTGCATTTTCTTTTGCCCGTGAATTTTCAGTGCCTAGCACATAAAAAGCACTCAATAAATATTAGAATGCACTAACCATGTGTTTAGGTGCCTCTTCTGCTCATTTCACAGCCGTAGCTGTAGGATATATTCAGGTGCACCATGCCATAAATGACCCCATCCCCACTCTGGTCAAGGCATGACTATGAAGGGTACCTGAACAAAGGGCATTCCAGCCTGGCCAATAACTGATGCCCCATGGTCTTGCTCAAAATTATGAGTAGATTCCTTCCTTGGCTTTTTATCCAGGAGATGAAAGATCACACAGATTGAGGAGCTGGGGCAATCATATGGGTCCCCTATGAGAAAAGCCATGAGGGAAAGACAATGAACAAGAGCAAAGAAAGCCAGTAGGGAGAAAGGGAACGGAGCAGAGAAAGTAGATAGAAAAGTGGTTTTGTTTGTGATGCTGCCATCTCACTGACTTAGTTTGACCTCCCCAGACTTCTGGGAGAACACTATCTGTGCTTAGGATATCCTTCCCCTTTATTAAACTTGAGTTGGTTTACTTTTCTAAAGGAGCCTGTAGAGCACCAAGTCCCACATTTACCAAGCCACTTACTGTGTGTATCAGATGCTAGAGTGCCTGTCCCCAAGGACCTGATTGAGGGGATGAGGTACACATACTCAGGCCTCAGTTTGCTACAAAGGTCCTGCTCTGTATGGGCCAGTATCACCTCCTGCTTGGTCCCAACAAACTCCTTCCACTCTCGTGTTATCAACCTACTTGCAGTTTCCCTGATCTCACCCCTCTGTTATGCTCATCCTGTGGCCTCTTCTTGGAGAGCCCCTCCTCCCCTACTTAACTTGTCCTTTAGGACTCGGGCTGAGGGCCACTTTCTCTTAGAAATATTTCCTGGGGCGCCTGGGTGGCTCAGTCGTTAAGCGTCTGCCTTCGGCTCAGGTCGTGATCCCAGGGTCCTGGGATCGAGCCCCACATCGGGCTCCCTGC